GAAGGAAGGAAGGAAGGAAGGAAGGAAGGAAGGAAGGAAGGAAGGAAGGAAGGGATTGCATAGCTGCTGAAAGAAATAAAAGGCATCTCAGAATTCAAAATCTGGTATAAACATTCTTATTTATTCTGGCAGCTTCCACCCTTCCAAATCTGAAGCAGTGCCCAGATCTTCCCCGCCACCGTCATTCTCCTGGTGTTCGCTGGCAAGCCCCTTGGAGCCTAAATTAAGCCAGAGAGCTGATAATTCAGTTTGCTTTTCGCTTCACATTTGAGAACGCCGTTCAGCCCCTGGTGTAGAAACTGCGTTGTTTCAGACAATAGATTCCAGGTTAAAAAATACAAAAATAAATATGTTGTGTTTTAATTCTGCCCCTGGCTCTTTTGAAAAATCAACCAGCAATTATCCCCAAAGCACAACAATTTCATAAAATTGCTATTGAAATGTCCTTTAAATTACTAAAGGGGATGTGGTGGGGGAGAGAAACAATTATCTGCTAGCCAAGCCCTGATGGGGATCCTTTGAAATGCAAATCAGATTATTTCTCAGAGTAATGAATACTTTTCAGAGTAATCACATTGTTTCTTCTCTTGATAGTCAGGAATTATTTTGGTCCGACACTGGGCAAAATTCAGTTTTCTCAGTCTGCTCTTTCTTTTTTTAAAGATTCCGTTGGAAATGTTCCAAAAGCTATAGAAAGGAGGTTTCCAATTTTAGAATAAAAAATGATATGCCAAACAAACTTACCTATTGTGATAATAAAATTGAGGATATTATTCTATTTGGTGTGGCTGGTTTATTAACCTTAAACAGGGCAGTTCTGGTTTAATTGTTTTTTATTTAACTTGGACATCTGTCCCAAAGCTCTCTCTGGGTGGTGACCCTGACCTTAAGCAGTCTGTGATTCTTCTATCTTAGTTGTATCACTGCAGTACACAAGACTATCATAACTTGTCACTTCCAAATAAACAATTTGCATTTTGAAGGATGGGGAAGAAAAAGTTTTAGGGTTCCCTTAGATGGGAATTCATGCAGACAGCCCTTTACAAAGCAGTCTGTGGACCAGAATTTTCCCCGGAGATGTTCCACTTGTCCAAATGTTGCATTGCAGATTCAGCAACACATAGGAAACATGGATGAAAAGGACTAAATTCTAAAATAACATCACTTTTCCTTTCCTTTTTTTTTTCCATTTTCACTAGGCTGCTTCTATCCATCCGGAATGTGCAATATTTCAACAGGTGGTGAAAGATAAGGCTCAATGTTTGGACCAAAACCAATCCCTACGATTAGATTTTAAAGGTGATGGACATGGACTTGGGTTTTACAAAGCTTCTGGAAATGTCTAAATACGTCAACTAGAATGTTATGGGACAAATGGACAGATTGGATTAGATTGGTGTCCATCTGTGCACTGGCCATGTATTTATGATGGTACCACTCAACTAGGAAATGGTGGACACCATCTTGCTGGATTTTTTATTGCTAGAATTATTGATTTATTACTATTTTTTTGATCTGGCCTTGACTTTTGGTGAATTTAAGGCAGGGTACATACCTAATATGCCTGCCTCCTATTTCCCCCAAAACAACATCCCTGGGAGGTGAATTGTACTGAGAGAGTGAGTGGCCCAAAGTGGGATGGTAGGTGGGAAAGACCTTGGGAGACTGGGCAAAGAGATGCTGCCAAGGAAAGGTCAGATAAGAGGCAACATAGCCCACAGCTGGGTAGTGGGTGGAGCAAGAGGCTCAGGAGGGACCCTCCCTAAGTTATTGGGCTGTAAAGGAGATGGGGGGAGAAGACTTGTACTTTCAGACTTGCAAGCTTCTGTTAATGTAGCCTTACAATAAGTAGAATTAGCTCATCTGGTCATGTCTCCTGTCTGATCTACCTAGTAAGGCTGGCATCAGTCAAAGCCCCTCCACCTTTATTTCATGACTTTGGATGGAAGTTTTGAATTTTACCTGCTTGTTTTCTTTCAGGTTGTTCAGGAGAGTGGGATGGACTGAGCTGCTGGCCTGAAGCTGAGTTTGGAGAAACAGTAACCCAACCATGCCCAGGATTTTTTGAACAAATCACCAGCACTCATGGCAAGAAATCTCTCTTTCTCTCTCTCTTAACATCACTTTGGACAGGGACTCAGAGGCAAATATGGTGTCCAGACAGGCTAGTGATGAATTGCTAGAACAGGAGGGATAGAATGCAAAGACTTGGTCAACAACAAGCTGATGGACAGATTTTGGAATGGGAAGACAATGGAGGGGATGAGAGAGTCTGCTTAGCATCGTCTCTTCTATGTAGATTATTGAATCCACCTAGCAAAGTTCCTATGTAAGCTTCCCAGATCACTTGAAACCTTTTTGATGGTCTAACTCCAGATTCTCTTTCCTTTCTATTAGAGATCAATGTTGAGAGGCCAACTCCAGGCCAACCAGTCTCTCCTCCTGCAGCTGTGCCAACTCCATAGTTCTCAATTTGCCAATGTCAACCCCCCCCCAATTC